CCACCATGTTAATTGCTGCATTATATGCAATAGATAAGATATGGAAACAACCTAAGTGTCCACTGACAGATGAATGGATAAAGAAAATGTGATGTGTGTGTGTGTGTGTGTGTGCGCGCGCACACACACACACACACACACACACACACACGCACACACGCACACACGCACGCACACACAGCCTGCTGTCAGCCACCACGGGCAAGGAGAATCTCTCCCTGCCCCAGACTCTCCTACCCAGCAACCCCTACCAATGACGTCCTCTCTCCATCCCAGCGCTACCAATTTCAAAATAGCTTCCCCTTGACAAGCACTGCAATGCAGCAACCACTGACCCAACTACTCTTCCTCCCCCAGGTCAGGTCAGGCAGGCCCCTCACTCGGATGCCCCGGATCCAGGGAGCTCCCAGCTGCGCCTGCTCTCACTTCGTATGGCTCACGTCCATTGAAGAAATCCCTACCTGACCCGGCGATCAGCCCGAAACTTCAACATCTTTTTGGCAGCTCTGTCCCCCCGTTCGGCAGCCTAGGAGGACCCGCCAGCCACCCTGCTCCTACCATCCCTCTGAGCAGTAAGTCCTCCAGTCCCGCGCTGGGCCTTGGCCGAGTTCCAGACACGGCTGGTTCCCCCTCCTCCTGACTCCAGCATGAGGAAAGGGGGAGGGCTCTCCCCGGGTGGTGGGAGGGGTGCCCAGGTGCCCTAGGGGGCCTGTGGCTCCCCAGCTTTCAGCCCATCAGAGTGTTCAAGGCAGAATAAGTGAGCGGAGGATGACATCCTCCCAGTCCAAGTCCCCAAGGAGAAAAATGCTGAGACGGAGAGACAGGCATACGTGGAGCAGGTGTACCACGTCCAGGTAGTCCGACTCATTGAGCTAAGGACACAGAGCAGCTGGGCAGGCGGAGGAGTCTGGGGCTGCATGCCCATCTGCACGGCAGAAACTCAGCCAGCCGACCTGCAGGAAGATAGTCGTCCCTGCCTCCTGACTCCCGGCGCAGAACACAGGCCCTGGGGCTGAAATCACCTTGCTTCCCAGAGACAGTTCTGATCCTGTGGGCACAGGGTTAAATGAAGCTCCAGATTCATGAGCCGTTGCTGCGCTGCCTGGAAGCTGAGGTTGATTAAGTCTCCGCTCTCCTCTCAGCCCTCCCAGCCGCCTTCTGTCTGGACAGGAGCAGAATGAGCGAAGCTTCTCTGCCACGTTCGCCTACATGCTCCCTTTCGACACAGCCCCAGCTTGCTCGCCCTCTGCTTGGGGTGATCCAACTAATGGGGAGCACAAGGAGCATGTGGGTGCAGGTGTGGTGAAGACAGAGCTGGTGGCAAGGACTGGCTTCTTTGCTCAGGGGAAAATTAAAGGCAAGCTCATGAGAAAGAGGGCAGCAAATGGGGCTCAAAGAGGGGTCACTGTATGTTTATTTCTGAAAATCTTCCCAGATGCGATATGATAAATCCCAGCTGGCAACTAACAGATCTGCTCAAGGGCAAAGAGGTCTGCATCGTTGTTCATTCCCCTGACCTTTCCAGACACCAAAGATGGTCAAATCTCCCCTTCTCCTAATGTCCTCCATGACTTAGGGTCCTTGGACTGCAAGGGCCTCTGAAGGTCATCTCTTCCATCCCCTTGCCTCCAGACAAGCCCATTGGCTCTCCAATCAATCTCGTTAAGTGCCTGGTTGTAAAGGGTTCTAGCAGAGAAGGCTCCAGACCCACTGTTATCTTATAATGCCGAGAAGTTCTTTTTGATACCAAATTTCAGTTCCTCCGGCTTTCAAGATTATTCCATTTTTGTCTTCTGATGACAGAATTATTTCTGACTAACGTGATTCCTTTAGCAGCACCAGGCAATCTGTTGACATCATAGTCTGGTGTCACGGCAATTCTGTGATGTCACAACAGACACTGAAAGGGAGGGGCTGATCTAATTTTTTTGGATTGAGGATAGAACTCGGTCAGAGAACAATGCAGACAGTGAATGAAAAAGCAAATAGACAGCATT